GTCCACCTATGTGGTGGTTTCATGAACCCTGGGGGTGGGGGATCTGGCAGAGCTCAGGTCACCTGGCCCAGGTCTCTTGGCCTGCCTGTGAGGTGGGTGCTAGGTATGTGAGCCCTGGGGGTGGGAAATCCGGTGAGGCTTGGGATGGCTGGTCCAGGTCCTTGGGCTCACCTGCAAGAACATGTCCTCTTTAATGAAAAGTCAGAACAGTGGACACAGACCCTGATGCAAAAGGAGACTATGGCAGCTCATTTGGTATCATAGCAGAAGGAGAAGAGAACAAACTGGATAACTACTCCAACCAAACAATGAGAGCAAAAATATCTCGGTAAATGGAGACTTGAGGTCGGCTAAGTCAGTCAATGCACATTGGGAGGGCTGCATCATCCTTGGATCGGTGAAATTGACAGCTCTTCAGAACTATCCAAACCACTTGGGCAGAACCCTTGGAATATGCACACATTGGGACCCTGAGTTGATAACAGGTGGCAGTTCCTTATCCCTGGGTACTGGGACGTTTGGAAAGTCATATGTGGCTTCCCCCTTTATCTTTCCCCTTTCCCCAGAAACAAGAAGAAATAGCAAATTTGGAAACAGTGAGTGCACCTAATTTTCCCTAAACTTCAATCCTTCCCACCCTGATCAACCATGTAATCGTTACTTAAAGAAAAACAAAACAAAACAAAAAAAGGATGCTGAGTGTAGTTTGCTGTATCCTCTAGTCCTGCCTTGGTGACTGTGGAGGCACATGTTGAGATGACGTTTCCATCATCTCCGTCCCTTTGTGACTATAATGAGGAGAGTACCTGCCTGCCACCTGCGGCCATCATGCAAGGCTCATTGGCAATGAGATCTGTGCTCTGTTCAAAGCATCTCAACCTGGGGATTGCTGCTGCAGCACAACTTTGTGCTCACTGTTTTCAATTTCAATATCCCTGATGCTCCAACATTTGAGGTTTTGATCCTCCAGAGTCAGCTAATTCCTAAAGACAGCAGCTGACTCCCCTGTAGGCATGTCTTTGATATACAGCCAGCCGAGCCGGAGCCCATACTCTCAAGCACCTTCTCGATCCAACTCACATGCCAAGTCATACTGAATAACTAGGAACCACTCTTAGAGTGCAGAGGCCATCCATATTCATTCAAGCTCCCCCATTATAAACATCCTTAGCGTACTTTCCTGCCTTACCTGCTCCTTTTGGTAAAAATCCAAATGAAGGCTCAGGGTTCCCCTCTTACCTCTTCTTCCCTGACTCAGACTGATGTTGATGCCTCCCCGACATGGCCCCGTAAGGCAGAATAGCATAATATGCTCTGTATCCTCTTTCTACGGCTCAGTAAGCACAAATGTCTTCCTTCGTAACAACCATTTCCATTTCTTTGTGTCTTACCAGTTCTCATTCAAATAAATCCTGGAGGTAGGGGTTTGGCCTAATGATTAAGCTTCCCACATTTAAGTATCTGGGTTTGATTCCCGCCTCTGGCTCCCAGTTCCAGCTTTCCATTGATCTGCTCCCTGGGAAGCAATGGTGATGGCTCAAGTAGTTGGGTTCGTGCCACGCATGGAGCAGGCCTGATTATGTTCCCAGCTCCTGACTTCAGCCTGACTTATCCCTGGTTGCTGTAGATGTTTGGAGAGAGAATCAGTGGAGGGCCTTTCTCTTTCTCAAATTAAAAAAAAATATTTTAAGAACTGCACAGACACATAAAAATCAATCTTGGGTACCTAATCTCATAATTATCAGCACAGTGAGCAGGGATTTGTGCCCAGTGCAGATGCTGCGTCCTTGAACTGTTCTTGAATTATGCCTGGACTCCTTAGAAAAGCCTGCCAGCTACTGGAGCGTTTCTGCTCACCTACTGTGGCATTGTGCCTTTGTCATGTGTTGCCAACCTAAAGTCATAGAACTCAGAAAGCTGTGTCCATCCCCTCAAGCATCCCTCTAGCTGGAGTGTCAAGTGTCTGACAGTGACCCCTCTGGAGCACTCAGCATATTCTCCTACCTTGGTGGCCTCCTGGGACTCAGTGCCTGGGGTTATGTAGGTAATTAGCTACATCTGCTTTGCAGAAAGGTCCCTAAGATGGGGACATGTAGTGACAACCATGCTAGAGCCAAGGGCTATGAGCCACTGACTGGGCAGCACTGACAACGAGGCCATTGGAATCATTGAAATGACAGCCTGGAGCCGGGAAGCTCTCAGGGGGTATTCCATGTGTCATTCCCCCTTTTCCTTGTGAGCTTCATGAAGTCGAATTTCAGCCCTGTTCCTAGACCTCTGTGAGTGTAACCATCTTCCTTTTGACCACCATTTCCATATCTGCACATCTAAACTTCAAATAAATTCTGTACACTTTAACACAAGCCTGGCCTGTCCCGAAGGACCCACTGGGTGGAGAGGTGAGATGGAATCAAGCACACTGGAATTTTCCTAACCTTTGGGAACAGGAGGCTTCTCTGACTTTAGGTGTTCTGTCTGGCAGGCAGATGGTCCCTGCGTGGCAGGCCACCCTATGACAGCCCAGAGATGGGAGGTGGTTTTTTTCTGCTGCATGTCAACTCCCACAAAGGTGTAGGGAAGGACGAATTGTGCAATTGGAGTCACAGACACTTGTGAGAAAGTCTGTCTAGGATATACAGCCAACCCAGGCGGAGTCCATACTCCCAAGCACCTTTTTGATCCAACTCACATGCCAAGTCATACTGGCATGACCTGTATTGATCAGGACTTGCCCAGCAGCTCTTCCTCGTGACTAGGTGGGTGGAGAGTGTTGGGCAGTGGGGAGCAGTCAGCATAGAGATTCATTACTGCCCGTGTGTGAAGAGTTCAGGCAGCCAAAGCTGCTGGGCCTGAAGGGACAGTCTATCCACAGCCACTTCATCACAAGCTACTACTTGAAAACCAGGCCAGCACCGAGTCAGACAATTTCCTTCATGATTGATAAGTGGAAGCTAGAGGTCCTCCTGAGAGTGGCAGACAACCAAACACATGCTGCTCAAAGCCAGTTCAACCTTGCCAACTGTGGAGCACACCCCCGTAAAAGAACACATGAGTCTGACAGTTGTGAAGACTGTCTTCTCCAGTTATTTTTCTATTACAGATTTATTTATTTGAAAGGCACTGTAACAGAAAGATAGGGAGAGTCAGAGAAAGAGATTTTCCATCTGCTAATCCAATCTCCAAATGGCTGCAGTAGTCTGGGCTGGAGCAGGATAAAGCCAGGAGGCCGGAACTCTATCCAGGTCTCTCACACGTATGGTGGGAACCCAAGTTACTATGCCCATCTTTTGCTGTTTTCCTGGACATTTCAGCAGGGAGCTGGATTGCAAATTGGAGGCAGAGCAGCTGCAGCTTGAACCATGCTCTGATATGGTATGCTGGTCTCACCAACGATGGCTTCACCCACTGCAGCCCAAGACTGATCCTAACTTTTCCAGTTGTTTAGCAAATGCCTTCTACAAGTCATGCACTCACATGGCTTTTTTTGGGTATAATTGGGTAAAAAAAAACAAACATTTTTAAAAAAAATTTATTTCGGGAGGCACTGTGACAGAAAGAGGAGAGACAGAGATATTCCATCTTCTAATTCAACTCCCCAGCCCAATAGTCAATAGCTGCAGTGATGAGAGCTGAAGATGGGAGTCTGGAGCTCCATTTGAGTCTCCCCCATGGGAAGCAGGGGCACATGCACTGGAGCCATCTTCTAGGGCTTTCCACGCCCATTAGCAGGGAATGGGAAGTAGAGTGGCTGAAACTTGAACTGGCACTCAGATGAGACGCCAGTGTTACAGGCAGTGGCTTAACCTACCATGGCAGTGTCGGTGCCTCAATCTAGTTTTACAGATGTCCATGGTAGTCCAAGAAAACAGGATGTGAGATGTCTGTGTGCAGGTCACAGGGAGAAAGAAAACAACTCGAGACAGAGAGGACTTGATGGCAAGACTGAGCTAAACTTGTGGCCAACACCAGGTTCAATCAACATGGCTTCTGGAACATTGCATGCAAAGATCTGCAGCTTCCACCCGACTCTCAGTGGGTGTGGCTGTAAAGTGCGAAGACCCACCATTTCAAGGGGAGACAGCTCTGTTTCCAGGAGGAGGAGGAGCTTGGAATTTTTTTCCCCCCAACCTTCTCAGTATCTCAGTGGGCAGGCAAGGATAAAATTTCTCATCTTGACTTCAGTTTTAACATTTTCCAATGAAGCCAGTCACAGGAAGCTTCTCTGTTGCAGAGTCCCATGAGGTAGAGAGAATCTGGGCCCGACCCTTAAAGAGGCCATTTGCCAGCAGGTGACTAGACCTCAATGAGCTGTTTCCCTCACCAATAAAGGTTGGATAACATCCTCTCTCACCCCAGCGCTGTTAGAGCCGGTGAAGCAATGCATGCACAGAGCTTCCCATTCTCTCTTCTGTAAATAACCACAGCTAACGTTGAGCCTTTTCCATCAGCCATAAAAATGCTCAATGTTTTTAGTTTTGTTATCTGATCGTCACAGAAGTCCTACGTAGTAGGTACTATATTTATTTCGATTTAATATGAAAAATAGGGGAGGGGATGGATAGGGCTTGAGCCTCTGAGATCAAGTGTCTAACCTGTGGAAGGCAGAGCTGTCAACCCGCCTCCTGAGTGCAGTCACTGCTCCCCTCCCCACCCCGACACAGAGCACATGGCACGCTGCGAGCTGTTACCCTGGGAACCATCCAGATCATGATAGTGGACACCTGTCACCAGGGAGTCCCTGCAATGAGTGAGGCATGTGACAGAGATGGTTTCATCTGGTTAACTCCTGTAACCAGGGCACACTGTCACCCCTGCTTCCTTTGGAACCCCAGGACAGGTGATCACATGGGAAGAGGTGATGTCCTTCTGCCTGACTTCACGTCACAGCAGGGTCACGGGCTTGGCTGGCAGCTAGGGAGTGAGCATTGCCTTCAACTATGAGACAGCTTTGGCTGAAGGCAACCACTTGGGCAAAGGACAAAAACCACAAGAATCATGACCAGAATCATAAAAGTGTTATTTATTTCCTTCCCATTGCTCTCACTTCTTTAAACAGGAGTAGTGATGGTCTATCAGGCAAGGGGTCCCTGGCTTCAGTTAGTTCCCATTTTATCCTGTGCTGGAGTGATGTCCAGCAGCCGGAGGGAGCTCAGGCCGTGTTCCATGTGATCCATCTCCGACAGAGGAGCAGTAGCTGCTGGTATTAGCCATCAGATCCCTTCCATGTGTCTGGGGGCTGGCAGTGAACTCATCGGGCTTATTAGGCAAGCCCCACAATTTACTCCGTATAGAGGCAGCTGACAAAGTAATGAAGTCGCAGAGAAGAGCCTTCTAAAGATGGAGGCTTTAGTCTCAGAAAGAGGAAGCAGATCAGAGCGCAGAAGAGGGTGTGGCAGCTCCTCCTGAGCCACCTGTGCCTCCTGGACAGCAGCAAGGTCCTGAGTCCCCACAGTGCTCCTGCTGTCAGCTGCAGCTGCCACTGTCAGGCCTGCCTGCCTGGCGGGCAGGGCACAAGGCGGGTGAGCACCTGAGCCTGGCAGTGGGTACCAGCAGGCGGGTGGCTCATTTGCTGGCCACGGCAGAAAGCTGGTCACGGATGCGGCCCAGCCCATCCAGCATGGTGTCTAGGGTTTCCTTGCTCAGCTCCATGGTGACAGCCGAGACGGACGGTTTGTCCCCACACAGACTGGGATCTTCTTGGATCTGCAAAGAGAAAGAAGCCCGGAAGGTCAAGGCTGCTTCCGGTCCCATCTTCCTGTGAGTGAGCCCTCGGTTCCTGGAGGGCTACCCCAGGGCTACGGCCCTGTATCAGAGGCCGCCAGGGAGCCCTCGCCTCTGAGTGCTTTAGCAATGGACAAGATGAAGGATGTCTGGATTGTCTGCATCTGCATTCTCAAGGTGCATTCACAGAGAGGTCTGGGCCTAGGCTCCCTCATCTGACAGCTGACTGCAGCAGTCAAGTGAGAAAACATTTCCTGGGTTCACATGGCACTTTAAACACAAGATGGACTGGGTATTTTAGAGCATTCACTGGATACAGGAAAAGTCCTGCAGCCCTTAGGCATGTTTATCTGTATCTTAAAACTAAGACATTCACTTTACCGATAATGTAAAGCTTAGCTGCTGAGGCACCCCACTTTGACTGAATTCTGAATTCTGGGCTTCCGGTTTTAAGTAGATACAGCATTATGCTATCTAAACAAATCTTGCAAAAGGGATATAAGGTTTAAAAAGAATCCCTGGAAAGAACTACAGGGGAAGGCAGCACCAATGAGACAAGGGTGCATTCAAAAAAACAACAAAGAACTGACATTTCTCCAGTCAAGGTCTTTATTAGCCTTGTGGTAAATGGTGACAGTCTAACCTTACTGGGCCGCAATGTGACAAAAGTACACCAAAACTGGAGTGGGCATCTGGGTAGCAGTGAAGCCACTGGAGGCCCATGTCCCATGTCAGAGTGCCTGAGTTTGAGTTCCAGTTCTGTTGATTTGAGTTTTTTGCTGATGGAAGGCAGCAGGCGATGGCTCGAATTGTCGGGTCTCTGCTCCTTACACTGGAGGCCCAGGTTGACTTGCTGGCTCTTGGCTATGAGCTGGCCCAGAGCTGACTGCTGCAAGCATCTGGGGAGAGAACCAGCGCATGGGAGCTCTCTACCTGTCTGGTTCTCTGCCCTCTCAAATAAAAATGAACAGTAAAACAGCATAAACACATCATCAAGATGACTGAGACCCAAATGCACACTCCTATATTAAAGTTAAACTTCTCTCTGCATGTATATGGTCATCTTTTGGTGTTGTCAAGTGACTCTGAAAAAATGTTCTACATTTGTGTTCTTATTGTGACATTTCTCCTTTGGCTTCCATGTGTTTCACATCTGCAATGTATTAACACAGCAGTAAATATATACTTGGTGAGGAAGCACATGTCTGTGTGATGTTATTATTTATTTTGCTTATAGGGTTAGAGACCCCAAAAACACCAGTCCCTGTGTGGATGGTCTGGGTGACCAGGGGCAGTGAGTCATTGCTAGCCTTCTCATGAGAAACACGGGAAGCCATGGGCCGTACCTTCATCTGGAGCAGGCAGGTGGGGACAGCCATGCGGCTGATGGTATCCGAGGAGGTTTTGATATCCACTCTCCAGTCCAGGTCAACCAGGCGTGGCAGAGAGACTACGGAGGAGGCGACAATTCAAACCACAGCCTGGCTGCCCAAGCTCCCCAACCCTTCACCCCGACACAGGTGGCCAGAGGGGCTGTGCATGCAGAATGCGTTTCATCCCTATAGCAAGTGTCAGAGAGAAAAAGGGAGCGGGGTCCAAAGCCCTCAGCAAGTCGTGGGCCTTACCCACTGCTCTGTGCCACCTGCACTGCTGACTCACACTGGGCAGAGGCTCCAGTGCCCCTCCCCACGAGGCTCAGCACAGAAGTGGGCACTGGGAGAGATGTCACACCCAAGTCTTAGAAAATGTTCCTCCTGCAATAATGAGCATGGGATCTACCCACTCATCGCACCTCTAAGCCTCACTTTCCTTATGTGGAAAATGGGAATGATCTCAGGCCACGGCACGGATACGCTGGGAGGACCAAGTTAACAGATAAAGTCCCCAGCACTGGGACCAGCTCAGTCAGCACCATTGTGCATTGACCATTCATTAAACACACACATTTTCAGTAATCCTTCAAAGTGATTTCAATTACCCTGTTTCTTTCCCAAATTAATACATAATTATGTTAAGTACTCCGCTTTCTGCTTTAAATATTTCTTCATTTTTTAACAACATGCCTCTATAATGTCTATAATCACAAAACAATTCAAAGGTGAAATAAGAAAAACGATTCTAGCTTGGTTTCATTTACTCTGGGATTAGAATGTTTCTCTTTGACTTTTGGTTCAAGAGTCTGACCACGTGGCACACTCAGAGCTGGGTCCTGGGGAGAATAATAAGGAAGGAAAGGAGCATTTCTGGTACTCACTCTGATTTGCTTGGGCTTCAGTTCTCCATGTGGATCTGTTTAGGATGGAAAAATGAGGAAAAAATAACAGAACAAGGATGAAATTGAGTATTTAGTAAGAGGAGCCCTTCAGCCTTGGCATCTACCCTTTACAAAAAAAAAAAAAATTTACTTATGACAGTTAGAGCTCTAGAGAGAGAAGGAGAGACACAGAGAAACAAAGATCTTCCATCTGCTGGTTCACTCCCAGAAGGCATAACCTGGCCTCTAGCCAGGAGGTTCATACGACTCTCCCAGGTGGGTAGCAGAAGCCCAAAGACTTGGGCCAATTTCTCCTGCTTTCCCAGGGACATTAGCAGACAGCAGGAGCAGAAGGGATCAGCACAGTATTTGTCTGGGATGCCAGGTACCTGTAGGAGACGCCAGAGTCCCGGGAGACAGCTTAACCCTATAAACTGCAGTGCCAGCCCCTGGGGCTTCTGCCCTTCTGAGACTTGCTGTTATCCCCGAACAGGAAAAAAACGACCAGACATCTTGGCTCTCAGAAGCAGTCTTTTGTTTAGTTATTTCACATAGTTCAGGGATGCTAAGACCACGACCACTGTTAGCTTTCACAATAAGGAGAAAAAGAAAGAAGAAAAAGCTGAATGCATTGAATCCTAATTATGCCGCTGTCCTTAGTCCCTTCCGTACTAAGCACTGACTATAAAACCATCCAGAGGGACAGGCCTGGGGCTGCAGCATATCACCTCCCAGGGAGACAGCACACTGCGTGCGTCCGAATGAAATGTGCTCCTGTACACCAAAGCTCTTCAACAACAACAAGGCCTGTACGGTTCTTGCTTTGCCACAAGTCTGTTCGAGCCTTCTGCTAACCAGTGGTTAATTGAATCTACCTACGCTGTATGGCAGCTAAGATGAAACACAATTTACAAAGAAATAAAAGTAACCAGTGAATACATGAAGGAGATATTCCACATCAGTAGTCACAGATAGGTAAGTTGAAATGAGGCAGGTACCATTTACCATTCAGGAGAGTGGGAACAAATGTTGAAAGAAAAAGGTCTCCTGAGTGAAGGCATGGGCAGAGGGCTGCACTCACACCTTACTCGTGGTAAACGGGTTGTTGGGATCCTTCTGATGATCAAATTGCTAATAAGGGGCTATACCCTCATTACTGAGATAATCAAATGCATAAGAGAAACTTCCACTGAACACTGTTCACTGATGCAAAAAATTGCCAAAACCCCAAATATCATGTAGTAGACCATATTTTATATTTAAGCATTAAAAGTGACACTGAAGGTAAATATTCATTGACCTGAAATGGTCACACTGTCAGGGCTGTCACCTGTGGTACAGTGATTTCAAATGCTCCTCCTACAATGCTGGTATCCCAAATGGGCGCTGGTTTGTGTTCTGGCTGCTCCACTTCCCATCCAGCTCCGTGCTAATGGTCTGGGAAATCAGAAGATGGCCTAGGCACCTGGGCTTCGACCACCCATGTGGGAGACCCAGAAGCAGCTCCTGGTTCCTGGATTCAGCCTGGCTAGCCATGGCTGTTGGAGCTATTTGAGGAGTGATCCCACGGATGGAAGATCTCTCTCTTCATCTCTCTCCATCTCTCTCTCTTTCTCCATAACTGTCTTTCAGATAAATAAATACACCTTAAAAACACACTATTACATGAAAGCAAATAAGTTATAAAAATGGCATGAATCTAATTTCCCTAAAAAACAATGTCAACCTCTCCAAGTGTAAACAGGAAAAATAAACCCTGAAAGGCTTCCTCCCACGGAATGAACACCACTAACCTCTACAAGTGGAATTTTTTTGTTCATCTGTGTTGTCTAATTTTTCAATAATCAGTATTTACTTCTGGGGGGGGCGCGGAATAAGAATATGAAAGGCCCACACAAGAAATGCACACTTACACATGCTCTAGGATGATTTTTGTCAGCAGGTTTTTGAGGTTTTGGTGGAAATTTTCTGGAAAGAGAGCCAGGATGGACTCAGCAGAGGACAGGTCATGGAATGTCACCAGCCTGGTAAGACGGTGCAGAGCCTGCAGCAGCTGCAAGACAGATGGCACAGCCCTGCAGCCGCAGGAGAAGCGGGCACGAGACAGGGTAGAGGCAGGGCTCCACCCTACCCAGTGCGCCACACGTCCCTGGCCATGGGGAGCCACACTTGGAGGCCAGGGGCCGCGCTGGCATCTGCTGCTGTCCCAGTGCCTCCAGCCCGCTGAGGTCATCGCTGTTTGAGGAGACAGGTAGCTTCCCGAGCTAGGATGCTGCCAGCTTGCCAGAAACTCTCTGTTCCCGACAAAGGCTAACTCACTCTTCGGGGGTGGGGGGTGTTTAGCCCAGTGGTTCAGGTGCTCACATCTCATAGCAGAACACCAGAGTTGAATACATGCCTTTGTCTCCCAACTTCAGCTCCCAGCTAATGCACACTCTGGGTGGCAGTAGTGATGTCTCAAGTGATTGGGTTCCTGCCACCCAACTGGGAGACCTGGAACCGAACTCCTGGTTCTTGACTTTGGCCTGGCCAGCCTTAGTCCTTGTGGGCATTTGGGCACTAACCAGCAGGTGAGAGTTCACGCTCTCTTCCTTTTAAATACAAAAAGAAAAAAAAAAAAAAAGTAATGTTCCTTTCCCTTCTGCATGAGAATTTGACCTTCAGTTAACTTTCTGGAGCTGTTTCCCTGGAAACCCAAGAGAAGCGGGGAGTCAGCTGTGTTACTAGGCAACCCTGCACCGGTCCAATGCCTCTGGACTAAGAGGACTGCGTAAACACCTGGAGGCCCACAGCTCTGGGCTTCCCTGAGTGGGGCTGCATGCCCCCTGTGAGGACTGAAGTTGTGATCACTGACCTGTGACTACAGACAAGGAGCCCTGCGCAGCGTGGGCCTGGAAGCCAGGGCAGTAGGCGTCTCGTGTGCTTGCCCTTACACTGTCACCTAGGAAGGGGAGAGAGATTCCACAGCTTCTGCAGGGCTGACTTGGAAGAGGAGAGCCTGCCCCTGCCCTGCTGGGTTGCCAGCCTAGATCCTGCTCAGGGAGTCAGCGGCCAAGTGAAGCCCATGGTTGAGCTGTGAGTGCAGTGATGCTTAGCGGAACCTAAGAAAAGCCTCCAGAGGCAACTTTCTCTGTGTTGGTGCTTTTTCTGATGTCACTGGAATTTGCTGGATACAAATGGATACACCAGGAACAGAGGTGGGTGTCAGTGGTGAATGCCCCAGCTCCGGGCCTCTAAGGACTATTCTGAGTGCTACCCTCAGTTTACCACAGGATCACAGGCCAGGTCCCCGCTGCCCGCGGCACTGGCTGTCACCAACATACTCTCTTACCAATTTGCCTCATTTCCCCACTCTCTCTTTGGAGCTTTCTGGAATCCCTTCCAAATAACTAGGACTTCACCCAAGTCCATTTCTAGGGGTCTACTTGTGGAGAAACCCCCAACAAGTCTCCAAGTCACTTCTATTAGCTTGTTTTTGCCTTTTACTTATTCATTTTTTTAAATTGCCAAATTTTACAAGCAAAGTTCGTTCCAGGTAACAGCCAGGCTCTGTTTTACAGACATCATCCTGGAAAGAAAAGGGTATCAGGCTAATTCACTGAGTCACCTAACTCTTCCCTCCAGGTGAAATTACGTGATGTGAGAGAAGGGGGTTTTATCTGGGGCAGAGGGATGAGCACTGAGTTTGGAACAAAAAGCATCCACTAGGGAGCCTGATCAAACCCTTCAGGACAAGATCCCTAATCCTCCTCAGGCCTTGAAGCTTCTGTCTTAAGAACTTCTGAAAAGTCAGCCTGGAGCTATCCAGCTGAAGTGTCAGCATCCGCAGGTTACACACTGGCAAAGAAAATCACGGAAAGCTTGGCTCATAATCACACTGGCCAGGTACCGAGTCTGAATTGAAAATGCTTGGAAGTTCTTACTCTGGGTATAGTTCTCTCATCCATAACTCATTTATCATAAGGAGGGTCCGAAGATTTACAGCTTTTAAGTGTACTAACATTAAAACCAAAAAGTTCTTAAGTTTGCAATATTTTCAATATAAATTTATGGCAGAAATTGTCCTTGGATATGGCAATAACTGGGAAATCGAGACAAGTAAGGAATAATGAACAAAAATCACTTAAATTTTTTTTTTTAATTTGTGAAATTAATTAATCAGAGACAGAGACATCTTTCCCATCTGCTGGTTCACTCCTCTAGATGACTGCCACACCTGGGGCGTGGCCAGGCCAAAGCCAGCAGCCAGAAGCCAGGAACTCAAGCTGGGTTTCTCCCGCGGTGGGACCCAACTACTTTAGCCATCTTCCCAGCCTCCCAGGCTGTGCATTAACGGACTGGAATGAGGACAGAGATCAGACAGGACGTGCAGGCATCCTGAGTGGTTCTTAGCCACTGTGCCAACCATCCATACCCGGAAAGGTTGTTCCTGACCACACTTACCTGCTCCGCCTCCTGCTGAGTCACAGACAAGCTGGAACAGGTGACATCCAAGAGGGTTTGTGAGCTGAGTGCTGAGCTGGAAAAACTGTCTTGACACAGCTGTCTCACAACATCCTTGGAGGAGGCCTACGAGTAAATCACAAATGCGAAGAAGAAGAAAAAAAAAACCTTAGGTTCTGAAGACATGACTTTGTAAATAATACTGTTTTGCTCATTTAAGACTGCTCTGCTTCAGGAAGCCAGAATAGATGTATCATTTCCCATTCCTTTGCAAAGAAAAACCAAAATGCCCGGATGCTACATAGAAAACAAGCAAAAGATGACTCTGGAAGGGGGAAAGAAGAAGGCAGATCTAGCAAGAGATTTGTCCAGGCAGATCAGACCCAAGGCATGACATGATTGTGAGTTTTTCAGGTATTCTGTTCATCTCACATATCCCAGATCTTACGATGAGGAAGACAGCAACCTGGAAATGCCAACGAGTGCAGGGCAGAGTGAGCTGGGGGAGGCAGCGAATATCCATTCTCTTTAGTCAAAGGAGAAAGAAAGGGACAGCACAGCAAGACAGAAAATTTCAGACAAGAATGGTTCGGCTGTAGCTGAATATCACTGAAAACTATGGCTTACTTCTATGTATGTCAGGTCAGTGAGAGCGATTACTGACATGCATAGGAAGCCTAGGGTGGTGGGAATGTAGTGAGCTGCTCCAACAGCCTCACTGGGGGTGGGGCTGGGGAAGTGGTGTCAGAAAATGCCAATAGGGAGTGAGGCTTTTCATCCAGGAGCAGGCCACATCACCCCGATGAATCAGTGGGGGCCCTCTGATGACAAGGTGTCCACTGCTCCCCAGCAGTAACAAGGAACACCTGGTTTCCGGTATTCACACAAGCCAACATGTGGAACATAAACTTTTTAAAAGTTTATTTTTATTGAAAAGTTAGAGTTACAGAGAGAAGGAGAGACAGAAAGATCTTCCATTCACGGGTTCATTCCCCAAAAGGCCACGCGGGTGCAGGGTCTCAAGGCGTTGCGCCATCCTCTACTGCGTTCCCAGGCCATTATCAGTGAGCTAGATGTGAAGTAGAGCAACCGGGACACGAACTGGAACCCAGATGGAACGCTGATGCTTGGAAGTGGAGGAATAGGCATTTGAGGCAATGTTCTGGCTCTGAAACATGGAACTTCTACCTTCAAACGGCAGTAATGACGTGATCCCTCACTTTCCTGCTTCAACAGTGCCAGATAAACTTTAAATGTAAAATTTATACATAGAATCTCAGAATATGTTATGATAACACTCAGGTTTCAATAACAAAAAAATCAGTCATCAAACCAAAAACCAGAGAATCTCGGGCTGAATAAAAAAAGAATAGCAACAGATGTCAACACCAAGGTAACAATGTTAGAATGATCTGACAGATTTGAAAGGAGACCTGATGGGGCCATCACTGTGGCCTAGTAGCTTAACCACCTCCATCCCCCTGTGGTGCTAGTATCTGATGAGTGTTGGTTCAAGTCTGGGCTGCTCCATTTCTGATTCAGCTCTTTGCCTATGGTCTGGAAAAACAATGAGGATGGCCCATGTGCCCAGGCCCCTGCACCCATGTGGGAAGCCTTTCAAAAAATGAGAGAGAGAGAGAGGGAGAATGTTAAAAACAAACTGACCACGTAGATAAAAAATATGAACTAAGTGCTGTCTATAACAGCAAAGAAACAGCAAAGAAATTTCTAGAGACAGGGAGGGATATTATATAATGATAAAAGGTTATACACACCAAGAATATGTAGGCACCCAGAAAGAGAACCTCACAAATATGCAAAATTAAATCTGATATAACTATAAAGTTATTTATAACTGCAAAATTTATAAATATAGTTGAAAACATCAAAATATCTCTTTCAACCACTGATGGAAGAACTAGACAGATATTCAACAAGGACAAAGAACTCAGTAACCATCAACTACTGTAACCGACATTTATAAAATCTCTACACAATAGCAGAATACACACTTACCTCAAGAGCCTACTGAGCAAATATCAAGAAAGACCATATTCTGGGTCATAAAAAAAGAACTGTAATAATAGAATGTGTTCTTTGTAACTACATGAAATCAAACTAGAAATTGGTAAGAGAAAAGTAAAAGGAAAATGTTCAAGTACTTGAAAAGTTGGACAACAGACTTGTAAACAATGTTATGTAAAAGAGGAAGTCTCAAGGAGATTTTGTAAGATACACTCGATGCATGGAAATGACAAAACATGTCAAGATTTGTGGGACACAGCCAAAGAACTGCTGAGAAGGAAATTTACAGCATTCAATGCCTATATTGAAACAGACTCAAATCAATAGTCTAACCTTCCACTTTAAGAACCAGGAAAAGCAGAGTATAATAAACCCAATGAAATCAGAAGAAATGATAAGGAGTTGAAAGTAACGAAACTGAAAACAGTAAAATACAGAAATCAATGACAAAAAGAGCTGGTTGTTCCAAAACATCAATAAAATTGAAAAACCTTTAGAAAGACTGACAAAGTTAAAACCAAAGAAAACACAAATTTCCAATATCATAAACGAGACAGGGGATATCAACACAGACCTTGCAGACATCAAAAGGATAGGAAAAAAAAAACCCCTCAAAAAAGCTCTATCCACATAAATTTCAACAGCTTTAAGAAAATGAAACAATTACTAAAAAAGACACAGTGACAACTGCCCCAATATGAAATAAACAATTCGAATAGCGCTATAGAAAATCTAACTCATTTATAATAGTTATGTTCATTTAATAAGAAAGAGAGAGAGAGGGGAGAGAGAGAGAAAAAAAAGAGAGAGAGATCTTTTATCCAATGATTCATTCCCCAAATGCCTGCGAACTCTCAGGCTGGGCAGCCAGAGCCAGGAGCCTTGAATTCCATCCGAGTCTCCCATGTGGCTGGCAGGGGCCCAACTACTTGGATCATCTTCAGTTGTCTTCCTAGGCAAATTAGTAGGATCTAGACTGGAAATGGTGCAGCCAGGCTTCTAACCAGCACTATAATATGGATGACAAGGTGGCAGGCAGCAGCCTGACCCTGCACCTGCGTGGGAGACCCAGAAGAATCTCCTGGCTCCTGGCTTTGGATTGGCTTAGCTCCAGCTGTTACAGCCGCTTGAGGAGTGAACTATCGGACAGAAGATCTTCCTCTCTGTCTCTCCTCCTCTCTGTGTATCTGACTTTGCAATAAAAATAAAAAAATAAATTTTTAAAAAAATTACTTATTTTAAATATAGAATGATACAGAGGCAGAGACTGAAACACACAATTTCTATAATATTCTTAAAATGCCAAATGACAGAAATGAAGACTGTTACAGGCTAAGGAGAGTATGGAGGCAGAGTGAAAGTGGTTATGGCCTGTAATAGGGTTGGATGAGAGATCTTACACTGATGGGAATGTTGACTTTATCAATGTTAACACATTGACTGCAAAACTGTCTTAAGTTTCCCTGACTGCTATCATCGGGAGCTACAGGGTTAAAAGGATCTCTCTGTATTCTGAATCTTTAGCTCAGAAAAGTCCAAACCATTTTTCTTTGTTAAAGAACAGAGGATAACACATGCAGCAATGAAAATGGATTAATGAATTCTTGTGAGCTAAAAACATCAGATACACACAAAAGTACATGCTGTTGTATTCCATGCATGTGAAGTTCAAACATGTGCAACCTTAATTAATCTTTGTTAGAGGCAAACACAGTAGCTGTTACTGGGGAGGAAAGAAGGATAAGTGATGTAGGGGCCATAGGGGAAATGAATGTGGTATTGGTAACATTCCATCAACATTGTCAATACCATCGTCATCATTTATCTGAAAGGCCAAGAGACAGAGAAATAGATTCTCTTTCACTCACTGCTTCACTCTCCAAATGCCCATAACAATGGGCCCGGGCCCAGGCCAAAGCCAGGAGCCTGGAACTTAACTGCAATTCCCCATGCAGGCGGCAAGGATCTACTACACACCGTTGCCTTCCAGTGTACGCATCAGGTGAAGGCTGGGACCAGCAGTGAAACCAGGTCTTGAAACAAGGCTGCCCAATGAGAGGTGGGAATCCACAGCAGTGCCCTAACTGCCGAGCTAAAAACTCAGCCCATGCCGCAACTTTTTACCTTGGTGGTGCTTTCATGCACGTGTCGGAAATCAGCAGGGGGTGTACTTCTGCTTTATGCATTTGCTCTATCTATGCTACAAATTACTTTTTAAAAGCTTACTTAAAAAAAAAAAGCCATAAGACAACAGAAGACCAACAGACATTGGGGCGGGGGCAGGTGAGCAGGCACAAAGATGGGGAAAGGTACAGGACCAGGAACTGAGTTTCAGTTCCAGTTCACCTACGACATTCATCCGTTCATTCAGTAGCCATTTCCTGAGCACATGCTAGATGCTGTGTGGCACTGTGCTTGCTGGGATTCACCTGTCAGCACCAGACAGATGCCTCAGGAGTGTTGAATGTAAATGAATCCTGATGAGGTCGTCAACACAGGTCGAGCCAGGCAGGCTCTGTTACAGGACTGATGATGCCCCAGTACCCGGCTTGTGGAGAGAAATTAACTCTCTCTCCACCCGGTGAGCACAGAGGGAAGAGGGAGTGGGGAGCCCTCACGGATCTCACATCCCTCCGAGTACAATCTTGTGACTACAAACAGACGTTTAATGTCAGCTAATGACAAGTTCTGCAAAGAAAACAGGGCTGCCTTCTTCTACACGGGACGTCACAGGTTAAATAATTCCAAATCATCACTTCACTTGCCCCGTTTAATATGTCAAGTGATTATCAGAAGAGCATTCTGGCCAAAGCAAGGTCAGAAAACCCGGGCTTCACGGTATCAGAGAACGCATCCTACAACTGGAGAAGGAGCTGACCCAGGAACTGAGCGCAGCGGGGCGGCCGGAGGAAATACGAACTGGCAGCGTGGCCTACCAGCACGAACTCAAACACCAGCCCGAGACTAACATTTGGGATAGGGAGAGGTGGGGGTAATCATAAAGTACTTCCACGACGATTATGTCTTTTCTTTTTTCCCTCTTCTCACTCTAGTCAGCACGGCGTGGTGCTCTTGCTTCTACAAAGTTCAGGCGGGCTCAACAATTTTCCCGGGGTCATATAGAGAGGTAACGGTAGAGCCCCAGCTCTAAACCAGTTTTTCTAATTCCTGCTCCATCCCAAATCTCAGGACCGTAAGGGCGACCTCCTCAAACAGTCCCCACACCTCCAAATTACCTTCAGCAGACTTTGGAGCGCTACGAAATGCTCGGCTGTCAGGGCGGCCATCTTCCCGATTTCACGTGACTGTTCTGCTCGATCACATGCACCGGCTGCCTCCGCGGGGCATTCCGGGAGTTGTAGTCCCTCGACGTGGCAGGAGCTGCTTGTTTGCGATCCTGCGGATGTTGGGAGGGACAAGAAAGGCTCGAAGCCGGGTAGCTAAACTGGGGACACTAGGGCTGAGGGACATGCAAGACACAGAGAACGGTTTCTCGGGTGTGTTTAAGATTGGTTTGTCTTGCAAATTAGAGGGGAGGTCTGGTCCCCCCTACCCCCGCCCCCCACCCCCGCCAAAGGCTGGCTGAGTTCAAAGTGCAGCTATGGACTTGGCCAAGGACCAGGAGTCTCCAGCCCTTCGGAATTAAAGGGAATTAAAGCGAGGCCTTGCATATTGGAATTCTTGGAATTTACACCACCACCACCACTCCTAGCTCAAAAACCGTAAAATTGCTTTCATGTGTGTAACTTCCTTTCTGTGCGTGGTGTAGGTAGAAGCTGGTATTATTATTCTTAAGCTTATCCAGATGTGAAACCTGCTTCACTTTATGTTTTTATTGAGTTTCCCATAATAGTAGGAGGGAGATCTGGTCAGAAGAGCAAGTGGGGAAGTGTATGGGAGAGGGGATAGGGAGGGAATCATATGAAAACAATTACCTGGCTAGGTTCCCAGTGCACCAGAGACTGCGAAGGGATGGGAAGTGGTCCATGAAAATAACTTAATTCATGTATTCAACAGGGCAGCTATGATGAATGCAATGGGTGGTTTGCAGTGGGCAGACTGGACTCTGAGTATTCCAGAGGTCCTACCTTGAAGCAGACTGAAACGGTAATGTTTTGCCACCCGCCTCTGCCCAGCCTCTGTTATTTCTTTTATCCTCCTTTGGTATTTGTTTAACAATTCTTCCTTCTTCTTCTCCTTCCTTCCCTCACGCCCCTCTCTCCCCCAGCCCTCATCCCATGACAACCTTCCCTGGGAAAATTTGGCTCAAAAAAAGAAACCAGACTCTGATAAATCCAAGCTAAAGGGAAACCAACTCATTATGAAATTCTAGACACTTGTGAGCTGCTGGGGATGCTTGCTCCTCTGGCCCCTGCATCTCCTCTTCCTCCTTTCCTCCCATTTTCTGTTGGGCAATGTCAAGGTTCAGTAGTAAATGGTAGATGTTGTGGAATATTAACCATTGATTCCACCACTAAGTCCTGGCTGCCTTCCTTATTGAGGAATGCCTGGAGGAGGAAGACTAGACTAAGGATCCTGTGGTCCTTTAGGGAGAGTCCCCTCTTCCATCTTCTTGTCCTGGGTTTCCACTTTCCTTAACTTCATTTTATTGACTCATTTGAAAGTGGGCTACAGGTAGAAGGAGCTGTTCAGTTCACCTGAAATCTCTTTGACATCAAGGGGAGGATTTGAAGTGACTCAGCGAATTCACTTGATGTCAGTCTAATTGAGCTACTGTGACAAAATGTCACCAAGTGGTGGTTTGTTAGTAACAGGAATTTGATGATCAGGTTAGAGGCAAGGAAACCCAACAGCAAGGCACTGGCAGGCTCCTTTCTGCTGAGGGCTGTGTTTTGGTTCTTGTCTGGCACCTGCTGGAGTCTCTTTAATAAGGGTACTCACTCACTCAGGGCTTCGTCCTCATGAACTAGTAGTGCCACCCTTCCCTTCTCCATCCAGTACCATTGCTTTGGTGGTTAAGATTTCAATTTATGCAACTGGGGGACACAAATATTCAGAAAATTAGCACCTGCAGATATAGACAAGTTGGAGTCAAAATCCTTGAGCATTAACAGGACTGTGCTGGCTTCAAAGCATTTTCTGTGCCAGATCAGGCATCACAAGTTGTATGATATGGGAGTACTCTGTACTGATAATGTTGTGGTTGGTCCATGGCATTTTGAAAATTGGAACCTGAAAACAAAACGCAGGCTACTTACTGTCTTCAAGAATTGGCAGGCTAGACCATGCTCATTACCCTTTTTTTGTGTTGTGGTAACTGAACCTCTGTTCTCCCCAGAAGATTGGTTGGGTTTTCCAGATCCCCACAAGTCTGGTGACTCACTGGGATGTCATAGTGGGTCCTCACCACATTTGTCATTTGGCACATCATGGAGAGTATGTATTAGTTCCTGGTTTCCTTCAGGGACCTAATGGGATAAATTCAGGCCAAATCCCACCTAATTGTCCTTGAGTAACGGCAGGGCCAGGATTTACAGAAAGGAGCAAATAAGGTTATTCATGCAGACATAGTAGTGTCTGGTTTATGAAGAGTGCATGAGAGAACCCAGTATCCTGTTACCAAAGGAGGAGGTGGGGTAGATAAGTATGAGGTAAGACATTTGGGGAAATTGGAATGGTAACTGAAGTTTGTTTTATCACAGAAAATTTATTTTATGCATATCATTTGCATTGGAAGAAATGAAAGCTGGGATTCTTATCAGCTGTAACTTGTGGTGACTTTCTGAAAGCGGGCAAGAAAAGGCAAAGGGGCATGTGGTATTAGCAATGTGTAGAAGATGAGCACAGGGGAGCTGGTCGCTGCTGAGGGTGTGTCCCCTGCCAGCCATTATGGACTATGAACTGAGGCCTAAGGTTACACTGCCCTGCTCTAATGGCTTTGGTTGCTGTGATTAGTGAAGTCGGATCTGAGTGGGGAAGGCACGGTGGCCTCGTTTCTTGTTGGCTGTCCCCAGGAGCAACACAGAAGCAACTGGTAACACAACAGCATTGTCCTCATATACACAGGCCCCTTTTGTTTCCCCAGTACACAGAGCAGCGGCTGTGACAATGGCCTTGAATAGCACTTTACCCTGCTTTCTCCAATGTTACACTTGTTTTTCAGCTCTGGAGTTGGCGAAACAGTGATTTCCTGTGGGGGGTATCAGCTTTTCATATTTTCCGCCTGCTTCTCCATCAGTCTTCAGGCCATTTGCCAGTGAGCAGAACACCAGATCCAGAGAGAGCTAGACCTGTCAAAATATTACCTTCTCAAGAGGCTGGAAGACCTTGGGTTCTCACCTGTCACCTGCAAGGTAGGACCTGCCCTGGAGGAAGGAACCAGACCAGGTAACAGAAGAGAGGCTGAGAGCTTGGCGCAACAGTGGGGTGGCAATGGGATGGGGCGGGGAGGATGTTGTTGCAGGCAATGGTTGTGGGCCAGCCATGGATGATGGGTTATTGACTTCAAGCTGACCTGCTTGCTTCAGAACTGCTGTCTGCTGGTAAAGAAATAAACAAGCAAAGGCAAGGTTAAGTTCAGCAGTCCCCAGCTGGAGAAATTGTTGCTTCCTAACTGGACCTCATTCAATGTCTCTGGTGCCTTTGGATAACCATAATCTTCAAGGCCCATGCAATATTTACCCAAGTGACCATTTCCTTAACGAGTCATTATTATTAAGCTCTTGCTGTGTGTATTCTGTAGGTATTCATATTAATATCCTATCTCTCTGCATGAACAGCAGTGATAGCAAGCACCTGTGCCATGTACCTAGCAGCCTTGCTTGGTTAAAACCCAGACGCTTTGGTTGGAGAATTTGCATATGCCATCCCCATACTCCTCCACGACATGGTGCTGATCCACCCTTTCTGAGAGGCAAGGAAGTGCGGTGAACTATGTGTATTGAGACCTTTATCCTGTGCCAGTTGTATTCTAAGGGCTCCTCACCAAGTTCCATCATCCCCCTTTCAGATGGATGCATTATGATCATCATTTTCTGCATTTAATTTCCTCTACAGGAGGAAATTGAAATTCAGAGAAGTTAAGCCATTTACCCAGGTTCCCACAGCAGCTAAATGGCTGAGTCTAGATTTCAGCTCTGTATTCTCTGGAGTCTCATAGGAATCTTTGGCCTTCCCAGGCCTGCTAATTTAGTTTCTTTCTGTGGGTCATGAGGCACTGAGGGTGGCATTCAGTTCCTGACTTCCTAGAATATCTGCCCTTAAGTTGGCAGCTCAGGAATGAGGAGCTGTGCTTGTTGTCAAAAGCTTTTGTCTTTTTCGAAGAAGATGGAGTTGCTCAATGGTGTCAGTGAAGGAATTTGCAATTTTAACAATTGCTCAATGCATAGTATCACTTATTCAGCCAGACTGGGCTAAGTGGTCATGTGTGAGAGAGGACAGAAGTTAAATAAACAGGATTCGTGTAGTATATTCAGGAAGCCAAGTTTATTTTTGCCTATCATGTTCCCTAGATACTTTCTGTGGGACCTCACTCTTGCTTTGCTGTGGATGAAAATTAAGGCAGGTCTGTGACTCTCCTGGCTGTCCTTCCAAAGATTGCATCAGCCACATCTGGCTCCAGAACTGCCTCAGTTTGGCAATGAATGCCTCATGTTTTATGGAAGTAGCCAGACCTTTGCTCTCTGTTTCCACTCCAGGCTTCCTGGCATCCTCTAGGGAGACCTGCAGCTGGGAAGGAAGTTTCAGGCTAGCTTCTTAGCTTCTCATTCCCACCTCAAGCTTCCATCATTTTCCTGCTGGCTCCCTGAGGTTTCTGACTCCTGGCAGGGGAAGGTGAGAGAGAAGGGCAGAAATAGTAGAGGAACAGGGGTCCGTACCTGGTTGTTGCCATGTTGAGTTGACTTCCCTTGGCTGGGCCTGCTGATGTTTGTGTCTGATTTTTCATCTTTGGACATAATCCTGCAGGTCAGAGAGCATCCTCTATCCTCACCTTTGGGGATCTGTTTGACCAACTCCCTACAACTCTTCTCTTAGGTCCCAGCCAACATAACATAACATAACATAACATAACATAACATAACATAACATAACATAACATAACATATCACTACCAACTGTATGGTTTAGCAGCAGGGATGAACGTACTCACAGTACCGAAGACTGTGAATTCAAAATCTAGGTGTCTGTAGGCTTGGTTTCTCCTGAAGCTTCTCTCCCTTGCTTGGAGAGGGTCATCCTCTTGTGGTGTCCACTCCTGCTATTCCTTCTGTGCCTGTGCATTCCTGGGGTCTCTCTGTGGCCACATTTTCTTGTAGGAGGATGCTGATGGGATCAGGGCCAT